AGGCCCTGTCTCTAATAAAATACAAAAAGGGCTAGGGATGTGACTCAGTTGTTAAATGCCCCTGAGTTCAATCCCCTAGTAACACCCTTGCCCCCCCCCAAAAAAAGGAGTATTAGGATATGAGACACAGCTTGTTTCTAAACACCTGCTCATAAATGTTCAATTGAGGACCCCAACTCACATTCTATTAAATCACAATCACATTTTATCAGTGTATCCATTTGATTTGTATGCACATTAAATTTGAAAATTATTCTCCTAGAACCAGGGATATTACCAACCAATGATATCTGGCAAGTGCCGGGGTCCTGCCCTAGTGGTGTCCAGGGAGTCCTGAAGGATGAGTGGTGGCTGCAAAAAGATAAGACAGTCGTGTTGGAGCAATCTCCAGAGAGCGAGCTCTAATGGAGCTTTCTCTGGATCATCTTTTATTACAATTTTTCTCATCATTATAGATTCAAAATACATCATTGATTATACAATTTCAAAACTTTGCCAAGACATAACGTTTTCTTAACCATAATTAGAGTATAGAAAAATGTAATATCAATTTACATTTTTCCAGGATGTGACTTTTAGTTATCAATCATTAATAAGATAAGTCACTAATTTACATTTTTTCAGATTTTCCTAAGATGTACTATTTTCTTATTAACTAATGCCAAACTACGTAACCAAACTCTAAGTCTCCTAACCTATCATTAACCTGTAAGTTTTAAAGTACACCTGCACTTTTATTTCTAATCTAAGATTCCCATCTAAAAAAGTCCCCTTAAGGGGCTGGGGATGTGGCCCAAGCGGAAGCATGCTCGTCTGGCATGCTTGCGGTCCAGGTTCGATCCTCAGCACAACATACAAACAAAAATGTTGTGTCCGCCGAAAACTAAATAAAAAGTCCCCTTAAATCTTAAAGTATCCTAAAGTTTATTAACCATTCTTAAAACATATTAGAAACCCATACAATAAAAACTTAAGAATTCTAAACCCAAGAATCTAAATAGAATAATACTTCTAACATTATTCTAAAAAATATATCTTTTAAAGCTACTTTAATTTATTCCTAAATTTATTCTCATAAAACTGATTGAGCTGCTTTCTCAAAGTTTTTCTTTGTTTCTCAGTCAAGGTGCACTGGTTCTTATATCTTTATAATCTTTCTCAATAAAAAGTAAGTTCTAAACATCAGTCTACTTTCCACCAATATTAAGTATGCTCATCATAAATCCCTATGTGAAGTAAAAGAGGGTTTATAGAAATGAAAAGAATGTATCCTTATATGTCTTAACTTTCTTAAGTGTATAACATAACTTTCCTTAATCAAAAATTAAACTACGTATGGTGGGTTTTGTACAATGAGCATAATGAATTTTTCTAAAAGGCTGGAAATACGGGCTTGGGTTCTAGTTGATATAATCAATGTGGTGCCTAAATTTCTCGTGACCTTTAAGAGAATGATTGTTGTCCATTATCAGTTTTGTCTTCAATGTGCCGAGATAGTAGAGCAGCTTTCTACTTTGTCCTTGATATGCTAAGGGGTAGTAGAACAGCCTTCAAGGTAAGAACTACCTGTTATATTCTAGCCATCTGAAATTTAATTTGGTTTGGCATTTAACATACTCATGCCTCCTGTCAGGAACATGAAAATGAAAAGTCCCAATTACATATAAAAGGTCTGATGGTTTTGGTTTCTCACCAACCCAGCATTCATCCTCACTGTGACCTTGACAAGACAGTGGGAAAGTGGCTTTGCCAGCACTTATTTTCACTGTGACCTTGTCAAGACAGTGAGAGATGGATCCCCTTCACCAGGCAAGGAGAATTTTTTGGTTCTTCAATCTCTGGGAGGGTGCTCCTGGCATCTATATCTGATGGATAGAGGATAGGGATGCTGCCAAACATCCCTCAGTACACAGAAAAGAGCCCCCACCCCAAGAATTATCTTGCTATAAATGGCAATAGTGCTGCAGTTGAGAAAACCTACCCTAAAACAGTGGTTCTCAAGCTTTTAAGTGCATGGACTCAGGACTCGCCCTGGAAATTCATTAAAACAGACTGCTGTTCCCCTCCAGAGTTTGGTTCAGTAGAGTTAGAGTGAGGCCTAAGACTGCATTTCTAACAAGTACACAGGTGATGCTGATGCTGCTGGTCTTTTGAACACAGTAACCACTGATCTACAATTTTAAAAAGATAAGGTTAAAGTACTTGAATGAGTTGGTATATAATGGTAATATTGAAGCTGTTATTGTTTTCAGTATTACCATTAAGAATATGCCAGAGGATGGGGCTGTATCTTGGTGGCAGAGTGCTCGCCTAACGTGTGAGGCACTAGGTTCGATCCTCAGCATATAAAAAGAAACAAATGTATGCTGTCCATCTACAGCTACTAAAAAAAAAAAAAGAATGTCAGGTGGTGCTAAACGCTCACGAGAGTAGTTTATAGGTATTTAGACTAAAACCATTTCGCGGATCAGGAAAGTTAAGGCCTAGAAATAGTTTCCTAAATACTGCTAATTTCCTAAATGGCAAACCTCCATTCCAACGAAGCACTAGTTCTTAACCACCATAAGCCATTGCCCACGACGTGTTTGATATTTGAGACATTTCCCTCTCCATTCAGGCCTGTGTCTACTCCCTATTAAAGAGATCTCACTATGCAAGAGAAGATGAGAAAACAGACAACAGACGTACTTGGCATTTTGAGAGCAAAGACGGAAGAGGAGGGGCTTCTGTGGCGGAAGGGGCGGGACTACCTTGGCAGGAAGTCCGGTGTTGACCATGGCTGTATTACGGAGGGGTCTATAACCGGGGTCCTTGCCGAATCTCGATCTGCTTTTTCGCCCCCCCTGGTTCTGTTCAAAGCACAGATCCGCATACTTGGGGCGAGGCAAGGGTGGTGACTCTCTCCCTGCCGCCATGCACGACGCTTTCGAGCCGGTACCGATCCTAGAAAAGCTGCCTCTGCAGATCGACTGCCTGGCTGCCTGGGGTGAGCCGAGAGGCCGCGGGGCCGAGACTGGGTCAGCGCGGGAGCGGTCCCGAATTTTCGCTAGGCAGCAGAAGTGGAAAGGCGTCTGACTGTATGTGGACTGCGGTCGGATGCTGTCCGAGAGCGGTCTAGGATGAGGGAGAGCAGAGAGATGACCACCCGCTGTAGACAGCGATGTTGGTGGGGGCTGACTGGCGATCCCTTAAGAATCAGTCTTTTTAGCACCCATTCTTGTGTTCTGTGCAATTAGAGGGTCAGCTTTCTTTATTGTGCTGAGCGTTGGCTCATTTCTATCCCCAAGAAATCCTCAGGGTAGAGGGTCAAAGTAGTGGAAAGTTCTGTCTCCCAGATGCTTGAACTTGTCCAGATGATTGTGTTGTTTTCTAGATGAAAGATGATAGTTTATTAAGTATTGTGAACAAGTTAAAATCATGTGCCTTTTCCTCTTAGTGTTTACCCATAGTTCACTTTTCCTTGCTGTAGGCAGTACTTGTTATTGTAACACTTCATCTAGCTAAGTGGTTGATTGCATTGTGTTCCAAGTGCCCACATTACATTTCTAGGTGAAAGAGCATCATACCCAACTGTCATGAAACCTAACCCATATAACCTCGTATAATCCTTTGGGATTGACTAGTGCGGAAAGTTGGCTCAGGCATCTCTTATGTGTCCTGTCATATCACAAAAGAATGAAGACTTCAGCAGTCTAAACATTGTCTTTCAAATGCCAACATGTGTGCTTATCCATGAGTGGTTGTGTCTGATAAGTGTCCCCAAAGACCAAGCAGAAATAATTTCAATCTTTGTTGTTAATGTTTAGGTCCTAGAAATTAACAAAATAAAAAATCTGAGACAGTGCACAGAGGAATTCATTCCTTTATTGGTTTATCAGATTCACATTATGGGCCATTTTCTCTGCCAGTGAAGGGAATACAGGATGAATAAGAAACAGTGCTTAGACTCCTAGAATACAGTGGGGAACAAAGATAAATAAACAGATTATGATACAAGGTAGATGATATTATAAATATATGGTGCCTATTATTGCAACATGCAGGAAGGATACCCAACTCAGCCTAAGGTATGCTTCTGATTAGAATGGATGCAGCTGCTTACTATACTTAACTTAGCTTGTCAGTGATCCCCTATGAAAACATTACTACATATATCTCTTAGACTCTCATAATCCACTTTGTCACAGGAGGCCACAAGAGGACATTTTACTTCCTTCTGCCTCAAAACTACTTTATTTTCCGACTTAAGCAGCAGTGATTATTGCTATTTCTAGTTATTATCTCTTTTATCTATGTTGTGCCCCTAGATGGAAAGTTCAATCAAGAACCTCCAGGAGTCAGATCATGTGGGGCCAGATATATGATGAGGTCATAACCCATCTCCTAGGAAATGGAAATACGGATGACACTGATGGTTTCTCCCTAAACTGAAGCTTTATAATCCAGCTGCTTTTTCAGTATTTTCCTTTGGATGTCTAGTAGTATAGCCAAACCTACTCTTGATTCTTCTCCAAAAATGCCTGTCCTCCTATATCCCACATCTCAGCAAATGACATTTCTACTTATCTCTTTGGCTAAGGCCAAAAACCTTGGAATCATTCTTGACTTTGCTCATTCTTTTTTATATTGCATCCAGTCCATCAGCGAATCTTGTTTGCTCTACTTCTAGAACAAATCTAGAATCTAGGCATTTCTCTCCATTTCCATTGTACTTTTCTTCATGAAGACACCATCATCTCTCATCTGAATTACTGTAGTAGTCTTGAATATTGCCATGTGTTTGCCTGTGTCATTTTCAGTTTTTACCTACATAGTAAAGAGTGAACCTTTGAAAACTTAAATGTGATCACATCTTTTCTCTGCTCAAAATCCTCCAGGGACATCATAACACAACTAAAATTTCAAAGTCCTCACAATGGCTGGTAACACCTGATGTGATCTGGCCATGTTTACTTTCCTGGCTTATCTCCTGTGTACTTCCCCCTTCCCCCTTACTCCTTTCTAGTACCAGTCACATAGCCTTCCTTGTTCCATGAACTCATAAGGCACATTCCTACTTCAGGGACCTTGCACTTACTGGTTCCTCTGTCAGACACTCTTGTTTCCCTAGATTTTATATGATTTATTCTTCATTTCACTCAGATCTCTACTGACCTGTCACTTAAATAAGCAAGACTTATCCTAAGTATCCTATAAATGAGAGTGCCATATCCAACAAGATGCTGTTCTCTTACTCAACCTTATCTTTCTATATATCATGGATCACCACCCTATTTTGTTTTATACATTTAGTTTTTGTCTCTTTCTCTCCACACTAGAAAATAAGTTCCTTCAGAGCAGAAACTTGGATTTGTACTTTGTTGTATCTTCAGTGCGTAGAACAGTTCCTGATTCAACGTATATTCATTAAATATTTAATTAATGAGCAATGATAATAGTAGTGATAACTTCCATTTCTACTGAGTACTAATCTATGTTGGGCTTTTATGAAATAATAATCCCATTTTATAGAGGAAGTACCTGAGACTTAGAGAATTTAAAGAATTTTTCCAAGGTCTCATATCCTGCAGGACTCAGGAATTTGCATTTTTATTAAGTCTGGATGATTCTAATGCAGCTAACCAGGAGCTTATGCTTTGTGAGACCCTATTCTTTGTTAATGACTCAAAAAAGGAAGGCAGTCACTACCTTTTCTATATCTATGGAAGCCATCTTTGGTCCAGGAATGGAATTGTTTATTGCAGAGGTTGGACTCCATTGCATTGTTGTATGGAGCTTCATTAGGGTAATTATGAGTAAGAGGGCCCAGTCTAACTTCTCAGGACAGATTAAGTCCGACCTTGATACACAGGAATAGGTCTTCAGGAGCTTTCTAGGCTGTATTTTACCTGTTTGTTATGTGTATGATAACTATTTGTATATTATGTTCTACTTTCTGATGTGCAATATTGAGTTTCAGAAGACTCCATATTCAGCTTAACAAGCTCTTGTTAAGCTGAATGTTTGGTAACAAGGCTTGTTCTCTGCATTGTGTGTGCATAGCTGTGTTATATGGTGACATGTCCTAGAGAGTGGAGGACTCAACATGATTCAGGTCCTCTACCTGAGTTCCATAGCCACATCAGATCCCTTCAAGGTTTCTTATCATTAGCATATCTGGAAGACACATCATTTGTCCTTATGAGTTTGAGGTCTAGAAATAGTGTTTCCTCAGCACTTCCAAATGAAAGCTTGCAAAGGGACAAATAACAATTCAATTTTTTAAAAATCTCAGTGAATTTATTCTGATTCCCTTTTATGGCCAGTTGAGTAGCCATTTGATAGGAAGTATCTTGGCAAATAAGCATTTCAATAAGAATGGGAAATAACTTGAATGTCATGCCTAGGAGTTTGATTTCATATTTTGGTTGTGCATTTTCATGAGATTTTTAACCTTTTTTTCAGTGTGAAAGAGAGCTGGCAGCAAATGTGAAAGAATGTGCAGAATGAGACCAGTGAGGCTGGAAACTAGACAAGGCTATTTTCAGGGATCCCTTGGGAGAGGGAGTACCTTGTGGAATTTAAAATGAAGGACCTTGGCTGACCTGGGGAAAAGACCATTGATAGAAAGAAAGGAAAACAGGATTTGATAGGGGTCTTGGGGACAGAGTATAGTGATAAGGATGGGGAAGATGGTGAGCCATGTTTGTCCTTTGTTTTGACTATAGAATTTTATGTGATATAAGTGAACTAAAGGTTTTTTCTATTCCATTTTATTTATATTTGAAGTATCAGTGGGTGTCCCCAAAATTGACTTTATTATTGCTAAATTGCTTGATACAATGCTACATAAATGAATTCTAAACATAGTATCGTTTACAAAGTAGACACTGTGAACTCAATTGCTTTTTCACCATGTTCACTCTAGCATAAATTTCCAGCATTTCATCATGGTTAGTACTATTTCTGGGTTTCTGTATATGTCACTTAAAGCAACAGTGTCTTACTTTCTGTGTCCTTCCTATTCTTTAAAACATAATATAAATGAACATAAAATCACTATCTTTTTCTGGACAACTAAGGACATCAGGCTGGAGAAATATTCCTAATATGGAACCTGATCTGATTTTATAAATATATAACTACTGCCTTTCAGACAGCCTCTGGCCAACAACACCCATCCTTTGACATGGGATGCTTTAGTAAGTGCTTCACAGGATGTGGTTAGGACAGACAGGTTGGGGTTGGAATCCTGACTCTTTGTCACCTATTATGTATGACTAGGCAAGTGCTATATCCCCTAAGCCTCAGCTTCTTCATCTATAAAATGGAGACTTTTTTTTTTTTTAATAAAGGGACCTACTTTAAAGAATATTTGTGAGGATTAGTGGAAAATGAGATATGTGTTTAGCATTTCCTCAAACACAACATATGCACAATAAAGGTTATCTATGCTATTATCCAATATAGCCATATACCACCCACATAACAATGTTTTGGTTAATGAGAAATGATCTATACAGTATTGTATACCATGTAGATTGTGTGTAGTAGGCTATGTCATTTAAGTTTGCATAAGTACACCTGTGTTGTTTGCACAACAGTGAAATCATCTGATGACATGTTTCTGTTGTTAAACACTCATGACAGTATTTTATTTTGTAGATCAAGAGAGTTTATGAAAGGAATGAGTGATCTTAATGTTACAACTTCAAAAAGCTGAGGAGGGCCTGGTGTGGTAATGCATGCCTATAATCCTAGTGACTCTGGAGACTGAGGCAAGAGGTTTGCAACTTTGAGGCCTCAGCAACTTAGTGAGACCTTGTCTCAAAAAATAAAAAGGGCTGGAGATTTAGCTCAGTGCCCCTGTGTTTAATCCCCAGTGCCACACACACACACACACACACACATACACACACACACAAAAAAAAAAAAGCTAAGGAGGTATCACCAGCAGCATCAGCATTACCTGGGAACTTGTAGGAAATGAAAATTCCTGAGCTTGCTTCTTAATCTACTGAATCAGAAACTTAACAAGGCCTGAAAATCTGTTTTAACATAACCTCAAATAATTATGATATAACTTAAGGTTTAGAAACCCCACTCAGTGTCCAAGGCCTTTTTTTATATATATAATAAGAGCTTTATTAAGATGTAATTCACATACCATACAGTTTATCCATTTGAAGTATACAGTTCACTGGTTTTCGGAACATTTGCAGAGTTGTGGAACTGTGATCACAATAATTTTAGAACATTTTATCACTCCCAAAAGAAACCCAAAATCCACTAAAATTCATTCCTCCTTGCTCCCTGAGCCCACCAGCCCTTAACAACCTCTAATTTTTCTGTCTCTGTGGATTTACCTATTCTGGGCATTTCATATAAATGGAATCATCGCCTTTTGTGTGTGGATTCTTCCACTTAGCATAATGATTCCAGGTTCATTCATTTTGTAGCATGCATCAGTACTCTCTTCCTTTAATTGTTGGCTAATATTCCACTGTTTGGATATACCACATTTTGTTTCACCAGTTGGTGGACATTTTGGTTATTTCCATTTTTGGGCTATTACAAATAATGCTGCTCTGAACTTTTGTGTCCAGTTTTTATGTAGATGTATGTTTTCAGTTCTCTTGGGTATAAACCTTGGAATGGAATTGCTGAGTCACAGAGTTACTCTATATTAAATCTCTTGTAGAATTGCCAGACTGTTTTCCAAAGTGGATATACCATTTTACATTCCTGCTAGCAATGTGTAAGGGTTCTAACTTCTTCACATTCTTTATTATCTGTGGACCATCTTTTGAGATAACAAATTCTGTAAGTTTATTACACTAAAACATTTATTTTTCCTAATATAAAATCATTAAACCTCCATAGGATGCCTCTTAGCTGTTATTTCTGAGGTTAGATACCCTAGTTTCATGTTTCTGCTTTCCATTTTATTATGTTATAAACTTCCATACTTTCATCATATTCTTTTCTTTTGATACTGCAAATTGAACCCAGGAGCACTTAACTATGGAACCACATCCCCAGTTCTTTTTCATATATATATAATTTTTTTTTTTAAGAGACAGGATCTCACTGAGTTGCTTAGGGCTTCACTAAATTGCTGAGGCTGGCTATGAACTCACAATCATCCTCTCTCAGCCTCCCAAGCCATTGGGATTACAGGATGTGCCACTGTGCCTGGTCCATCATATTCTTTTTATTTGAACTAAAAGTTATATATCTCAGAAAAAATATGTATCTTAATAAGAAATTAAATAATAAAAATGAAAAATCTTCATCTGTTTATATTAATAAAAGTGAAAAAAACATCTTTTTGGTCTGTTTCATTTTGAAACAGTGAAGTCAGGGACTTTTTTATCCATAGACTAATAAAATAATATCTTGAGCCTAGTAATTGTTAAATAAATTTTTTTCATTAGTTTATTCTCAAACCTTTCTTTTATTTTTCCAGTATTAGCGCTCAAACCCAGAACTTTCTACATTTAGGCAGGCCCTCCACTACTAAGCTACGCCCTCAACCTTTTCAGATAATTCTTGAATATGAATATTCATTACCAGAACACCTGCTATCAAAACTCATTTTCTTGACCCTTTTGATGGTTTTATTGTAAGTCCAGCTAAAGAAATAGCATCACACCACAATGAATTGACATTTCTCGTGGCCTTTATCTTTTCTAGAGGAATGGCTTCTTGTTGGAACCAAGCAAGGACATCTTCTTCTCTATAGGATTCGGAAAGATGTTGGTAAGTGACAAACTTTTCAGAACAAAGAAAGAAATGACTTATGCATTTTAAAAAAATTGGTAATTGACTAGTATACAACTGTGAAATCATTGATTCCTGGACCATTAAAAGAACGATGATAGGGGGTTGGAATGAGCACAGTGGAAAAATGGGGAGAGACATGAAAACTGAAAATCTCCAGGATTTTTTCTATACCCCCATCTTGGAGATGGGGGCTGAATATTGCTCCCCTCTTCACTCACTGTCAGTAATAGGAATATTACTTTGGGAATAAGATTTCTGTATAAATGATGTGTAGTGGTAGGGGGAAAATTAGGTTCCACTGATGTAGAAGATCTTATTAACTTTTGAAGGGTAGACTAGAAAGAGAAGATGGGTTTGTGTTCAGTTTTACTTCTCCTTTCCTGGCCACATGACTGTAAGAAGCCCTTGGTAATGCCAGTTTCTCTCTGTAAACTGTTTCACAAAGTTGTTGGGGGCAGATAAAATAATAGGCTTAAAAGGACTGTGAAAATTACAGCTCTGGTTAAATTAAAACTCTAGTTAAATGTGACTTTTTCTTTAGTAATGTAGAATGATAGCTAAAGAATCTGAAATTTATTCTGTTAAAGAGTGTCCTTTCCTAATCCTTTTTCTTAATCTTATTTCTTTGCTCTCTTTATGGAAAATTGTTTTTTACCTATTAAGTCCTGAAACCATAATCTTAGAGGCCTGCTGTTAATATCAGAGTAGGTTGAACTGAATTGTCATTATCAATATATTTGCCCTACAAAATCAGTGATTTCCTAGTTTTCAATCTAGTATATGTTTCCATAGTAAATAGCTAAAGATAAGAGTAGGTGTAGAGGCCTGAAGCAAGACTTATATAACTATGGGGAAAAGGAGCATTTAACCTAGGCAGTATGGAATGAGGAAGGCACACTGGTCAAGCCATGTGTGGAGTAAAAAGAGGAACCAGGGGAAAAAATACAGAGTTTATTTCATTTCTAAGTTTGTCAATTTTCCTTTGAATTAGTGGTAAGTAAACTCATTCCTAAAAGGTCCAAGTAGTAAATATTTTAGGCTTTGCATAAGATCTATCAAGACTATTCTGCTCTACCATTGTAACATGAAAGTAACCATAGGTGATGTGTAAATGAGTGTGTGTGGCCATGTTCCTGTAAAACTTTATTTACAAAAACACATAGATTTTTGTAAATTTGACCCACAGACAGTACTTTGCTGGTCCTTGCTTTGAATTTTTAGTTTTCAGAGCCAGAATATTTGTATTCTGTGACATGTCAATAATTGACATGTAATAATTAATTGACATGTAATAATTTAAAAACTAAGCTTGTCTTGGATATTATTCAGCATTTAATAGCTATTTTTTTCTTATATACTGTGGGCTCCGATATAAGTGGTGAGGCGCTGAGAACTAAATTAAAATTTCTTCTTGATTTTTTTTGCTAAGATCAAGTAGGAAACTAGAGTATAAAAATGAATCTTCCAACATAGCATAGACTCAAACTGGTAATGTTAGTGTTACCCTTACTTGGAACCCTGGTCCAAAGGAAGGACTGTTTCTTGTCCTGTGATCATGTGGCCTTTGACAAGTTAGTTAAATTCTTGGGCCTCAATTTCCCCATAAGTGTCTTAAAAGTGGTATTAACCTACTTAAATAATTAGGAAATCAAACTCTAATTTGAAACTTTACTTCAGTAAGCTTCCCTTCTCCCTGTATACACAGAGAATAGTTTAGTTCTGGCCTGATAAGGGATAGAAATAGACTTGGGCCTCTTTGAATCAGTCTAGTTTCTAGGTTTGAGATATTCAAATCAAGGCTGGCTTTCCAAGGAATGGGAAGGGATATTAAAGTGTTGGGGAAAGCTTGGATTCTGATCTAATTTACACCATCTCCCTGGAGATAAAAAATGTCTCCAGGTTTCATTCTACTCTTATCTTTAATCCAGGGATTAGATTAGTTCACATCTAAGACTTTCAACTCTAGGTTTGTTTCAGTGGTACTGTTGCCTTAGAGCATTGGTTTTCTGAGTGTAATCTATAGACCCCAATGTCCTGAAAATCTTTCAGAGGGCCCACAAAGTTAAAACTAAGTTCACAGCAGCACTAAAATATTTGTGTTTTGTTGTTGTTGTTGTTGTTTTTACTGTATTGAGATCTTCGGTAATGGTGAAAAAAGTAATGATGATAATTAAAATTGGCCCCTAAGCTGAACTCGGGACAGTGGTTCCAAACTGTATTCATGGTCATTGTGTTATTTTCTACCAGGTACTCAAAATGAGTTTCTGGAGTTTTGTTTTTTGTTTATTTTGGTACTGGAGATTAAACCCAGGGGTGCTTTACTACTGAGCTACATTCCTAGCCCTTTTTATTTTTTATTTTTGAGACAGGGTCTCACTAAGTTACTTAGGGCCTTGCTAAGTTGTTGAGGCTGGCCTCAAACTTGCATTTCCTTCAGCCTCCAGAGTCACTGGTGTTACAGACATACACCCAGTGAGTTTTGTTTTTAATCTAGTTTCACTTAAGAATGTTCTTGTTGAAACTGAAAAAATAATTAAATTTAGTAGATTTTGATCTTTTTTTTTTTTTAGTTGTTGATGGACCTTTATTTATTTATTAACTTATATGTGGTGCTGAGAATCGAACCCAGTGCCTCACACATGCGAGGCAAGCGCTTTACTACTGAGCCACAACCCAGCCCAGATTTTGATCTTTGATAACACATTTTAAAAATTGTGATATAATGGGAAATGTACAACTTCATATGGGTGCCAAGGTGCACAGCTGATAGCTTTTTTTGATAAAAAGTAATTATTATGTGGTTGAGTTGCAAGCTAAATTGGCCCCCTTTTTAATGGAGTGAAAAGAATGACTGACAGACTGGTTTTTGAGACATTTGGGTATTTGGTTGGTGTATTTTCAAAATGAAGTGTTGTTATCTCAAAGAAAACAACTGGCAGGCTTATTGGAAATGACAGAGCTTTCAAGAGAAAGTTAGGATTGTGGAAAACTTATATCTACCTTTAAGAGTTTCTCCTTGATAGCTTCCCAGTGAAATTGGGGATGATAATTATGAGTGTGATTTAAAAAACAAATCTTATAATGAAATGTGCTAGCGTTTGGAAAATCTGCCTGACTTAATGAACCAGTATTTTCCAGGTAATCAATGCATGAAGTTTCTAAATCATGCATGTGTAAAAGATTCAATGAAAGTGTAAGATAGACTTATGGATTTTAATGTATCCAAGTGTGAAAAGTTCATTGATAGGCTTGAGATTGATTCCACATTGCAAGAAATTCCATTTATCAAGTTTCATATAGTATTTTAAAAGATCCATAATTCTCTGAAAAAGCTATCAAAACAGATTAAATATAAGGCTGTGATGTAGCTCAGTTGTAGAGCACTTGTCTACCATGCAGGAGGCCCTGAATTTGATCCCTAGCACTGCAAAAACAAAAACAAAAATAATAGTTAAATGCAGAAGCAAATGTGAGAAATCAGCTGTTTTCTATTAAGGTGGACATTAAAGAGGTTTACAAGAGGGCAGGGGTGTGCTCAGTGGTAGAGTACTTGCAAAGTATGCACAAGGCCCTGGGTTTGATCCCTAGTGCCGAGGGGGAAAAAGGTTTATAAAAATGTTGTGGCTCAGCGGTAGAGCGCTCACCTAGCGCAGGAGAGGCCCTGGGTTCAATCCTCAGCACCACATAAAAAATAATTAATTAATGATATTGTATCCAACTATAACTAAAAAGTAAATATCTTTAAAAAAAATGTAAAACAATGCTTTTTTGTTTTAGAAAAAAATAGTTGTCTGTCATTAAAATTGTTTTACATTTTGAGTTAAATATAAGAATGAGTAAATAGGTACATATTTTAAATATTTCTCAATTTTAATTTCTAACATAATGAGCATTCATAAGGTATAACCTACATAAAAGTTCTTTGTGGTGCTCTTTAAGATTATTCGAAGAAGGCTGGGGATGTGGCTCAAGCGGTAGTGTGCTCACCTGGCATGTGTGCGGCTGGGTTCGATCCTCAGCCCCACCTACAAACAAAGATATTGTGTCCGCTGAAAACTAAAAAATAAATATTAAAAATTCTCTCTCTCTCTCTAAAAAAAAAAAAAGATTATTATGAAGAGGTCATGAGACCAAGAAGTTTGTTAGTTGGGGCTGGGGATATGGCTCAAGTAGTAGCGCGCTCACCTGGCATGCGTGAGGCACTGGGTTCGATCCTCAGCACCAAATAAAAATAAAATAAAGATATTGTGTCCACCTAAAGCTAAAAAAAAATAATAATATATTTTTAAAAAGAAGAAGTTATTTGGGAGTCTCTGCCCTAGAGAATTCTGCTTATAAAGAGAATTTTTGAATATAATAATAAGGCCCTTTTCAAATATATAATTTTTTTATCAAGTAAGAAGTGACTGAATTGTTTGTTTCTTTTGAAATGTGATGGCAGAATACCATGTTCCAGAAACTGTCTTCAAGTTTAGGACCCCATCTTTATCTCTTCTGCTGAGGTGCACAAAGGGAAGAAGACTTGTTCTGTTGACATGAGTCCCTGTGGCTGTTTCAAAGAGTCTCCACCAACTTCCCAGGGTTAAAGACACAGCAAGCTGTGGGAAAGAGCTCAGATCAGCAGTGTGAGCATTCCTTCCATGATGTAAAAGGCAGGAAACAGGATGTGGCTTCAAGCTCAGGCTCAGAGCGATCCCTGAATTTTTTCTAAGTTCTGTCCATGACTGGCTGCTCTCTAACTGCTTGACCCATCAGACTTTTGAAATATGAATTTGAAATACCTACTTCTTGGGGTTGGTTGTCAAATTACAGAAAATATATATAAAACTTTTAACCCAGAATCTGGTACCTGTTTATTACTGAAAGATAGCTGCTGTTATTGTTATGGTAATTACTCTCTATTTGGTGACTTCTGAGGCTGAATATTTTTGTCATCCCCAACAAGGCTGAGTTCATATGTTTTTATAGTATATAACTTTCTTCCCCTTTTTTGTAACAGTGCCAGCAGATATAGCATCGCCTGAAAGTGGCAGTAAGTGTAGATATTAAATTTCTCTGGCTCTGGAGATGGTGTTTGTGTTTGCTCTGTCCTCATGATGTAGGACATAGGGAGCTACTGGGAATTAGTTGTTCTAGAGGTAAGAATGCTTTGGGCTGGGTTTCATTGCTTGGGCTCTTATATTTGACTATTACTTTTTAAAAACTGTTCCTTGTGAAACACTTTGCTAAGGTACTTATTTTGTAGGGTAAGATCTTCAGACCCATAGGTACCTTGCAGCTTTAGTAAACTTTGTATGATCCTTTCTGCTGATGCCAAAAGTGCATAAAACCCCTTGTTCTAAAATTGGAGTTTAAAGCAATTCACTATGCTTAGTTAATACTGCTGGCTATTTTAAATCTCTGACTTATGAATTTTTGAAGATTTATAGGAGATTAGTATGTGTGGCATTTTGTTGTTGTAGTTGTTTTTGTGTGTATCCCTGTTTTGGAGCTACAAATGTTTTTCTTTTTCATAGGTTGCAACAGGTTTGAAGTGACACTAGAGAAATCCAATAAGAATTTCTCCAAAAAGATTCAGCAGGTAGGTAATGATGATGGTCACTAACTTATATAAGGCCCTGCTGCATTAGTCTATGTTTCTTTAATGAAATACCTGAAGCAGGCTGTTTTGTAAAGAAGAGATTCATGTAGTTCACAATGCTGGAGGTTCAAGGACATGATGCCAGCGACAGCACAGCTCTGGTGAAGGCCTCTTGGCAGGACTACATGTGAGAAGGAGAGATTGTATTGACAAATAGGAAGAAGCCAGAGAGTGATTCAGGAAGGAACTTAATTCTTTTATAAGAACCATCTACTGATCACTAATGCAAGAATTGCATGAGAACTACCTTAAGCACTTCTAATGGCACATCCCTAATGACTTAAGGACCTCCCACCAGGCCTCTTCTCTTAATATCATCACACTGGGGACCAGGCTTCTAATACATGAACCCTTGAGGGACACCATCAAACCATATCCAAAGCATAGCACTCACCAAAGTTAAAACTTTGATAATGTTACTTATTAACTCTGAATCCTCTTCTCTCTCCTCTCCATTTTTACAGGGATCTTTGCCCGTGTATTATGTGCTTGAGAGTCCCTTTCATAAGCAGAAATTGTGGTTGCACATAAAAATGAGTCAGATCCTTATAGGATGTAGACAGGCTCTTTAGTTCCTTTTTAATATTGTTGTTAATGAACATTTGTTAAATGTTGTCGGAAATGTTCAATTGAGTCTAATGATTTGCTATTTTCTAGATCCATGTTGTTTCCCAGTTTAAGATTCTGGTCAGTCTTTTAGGTAAGAAAAAGTTTGCATTTGTATTTCATATGTTAAAAAACTAAAGCTATGACCTAATTAACACTTTCATGGTTGTTTTGTTAATAGTTATATAACAATAAATTGCCATGTTCTGTGCCACATATAGTACTAGGGCCTATGGGTAACAAAGGCAGCATCACTTCATTTATTTAATTATCAATCAAGTTTTTATTGAGCCCTACTCTGCAAAGCTTGAACTAGATTTTGGGAATACCAAGTTCAGTAAGACATTGTTTCTATCCTTCATCTTTATATTCTAATCGTGTAGGCTGAGTAATAGAAAAATCATGATATAAGTGACAGTGAAAATTTATAAAAAATGTTGTGGGATCATAGTAATGGGAGGGATTATGCTATGTAGTTGGATGATTAGAATTTCCACAGGAACAAAGAGGTGGCCCCATGACTTGATAGTACATAGCAAGTAGTTCATTATGGCCAGACTTGAGATATGTGGTGGAGAGTGGCAAGCTATTGGTTGAGAGACAGATGGAGGCCAGACTGTTAGGGCCTTGTTTGAAAAACTGTGGTTTCATGGAAGGTAGCCAGCTAGACCCTTTTTAGGACTAGAAATTTGCCTAACCCTCTTTAGCCCAGGGCCCAAATAGCAGAATTATTGTAATCTTAAGTTCCTAGGTCCACTGATGAACATTTAAGGCAATTAAATCTTCATGACAACAACTATATATGAGGCCAGGATCAAATTACATTTGTCCCTCTTATACATATTTTCACTTTCTGTAGTTTAGTTACTGCTGGGTTTCTGTTCTCATGACTAAAAGGCTCAGGGTTTACTCCAGTTGAACTGGGCTGACTGGGCTGCGCAAAATAACCACACAAGAGATACAAATACCTTTTTCTTTGGGTTCAGAGTGATAGTTCCTCTGACCTTAAGGGTCCGCAGAAAGAGAGAGAGTGAGAGCACGCACTGACCCCTTTTATTGTGGAGAAGCTATTCAAATGAGGCAAGGGGTCAGGTTTCATCTTCATGATGTCCACTGTCAGCAGGTTGACTGACACCTGGGTAGGCCACACCCAAGGACACAGTAAGAGAAGGGGACCCACAGACAAGGCACTTCATGGAAGATTCTATCCTAAACAGGGCAAGGGGTTATATTACTAAGGAACAGGTGTGCATAGCTTCAGCCATAGGGCTGTAGCAAGACACACCCATGCATGAGACATTGACCCTGGAACCCAAGAAGGGTGGGGAAAACTCTGCCACATTTCTGTGACTGAGTGCCTCAGCACCCAGCCAGGGAGTGTGACTCAGTCACATGTAAGGTTGGTCTCCTACAAGTTACCTGTAGTCAGCTGTGGGTTTGAAAGAACAGTAGTGGATACGTGGGTACAGTATAATAAGTTTTTTTTTTTTGAGAGAGACCATATTTATATAATTTTTTGTTAACAGTATATTATTATAATTGTTCTTTTATTTAAAAAAATTTTTTACTGTGCCTAATTTATAAATTAAATTTTATCATGAGTATGTTTGTATAGGAAAAACATAGTATATATTCGGTTTGGTACTATATTGATTCAGACATTCACTAAGGATCGTGGAACTAGGTAGCCTAACAGAGACTATTGAATTATTTTGCTACCTTTGCTGCATTAGAAATCCTTTCCATGGGTTTGTACAAAATCCACTGAGGATTTCTTTTTTTCTCATTAGAGCCTCCTATATTATAGCTTTGAAAGACATTTCTTGTACAAATACTATATCACAAATTTCCAGACTTGAGGACAGGTTATAAGGGTGCTATGGAGTGAAAGAGCTTTTACTCATATCAGTCCAAATTTTTAAGGAATGAAATATCCAAGTTCAAAAGACCAGGTGACTACTTACATATTTTGTACTGGTGATAGCCCAGAAGGAAAACAAATAAAACTGAAGGTACATCCTAGCAACATCTTCTGCATGTCAGACAGTTACATTTTTGTCCTAGAGAATGGTGATCATTGACAGTGACATTTTACCTCTTCCTAAACAGAAAACAACATTTATGTCCATGACCTATTGACATTTCAACAAATCACTACAGTTTCAAAGGCAAAAGGAGCATCGCTATTCACATGTGACCTTCAGGTAAGTGTATGCAGGATGTACTTTGACTTTGTGCTTTAATCCGTATAGTCTTTCCGACATTCCTACCATTTCATGGTAAGAATGATATTGACAGTCTCAATCCAACAGCTGTCAAAGAGACTTTGATTTATTTACTTTGGATTATAGTATATGGTGCCAGGTTGAAATATTTGCATTCTCTGTGTGTGTAATTAGAATACCAGACATCTGTGCTGGAGTTCTTAGCTGGCAGGCCTTGAGGACGAAGTGTTCCTTAGCCAGTTGTTTCTAAATACATCTTAGAGAACTTTTCTGGTTGCAAGACTTTATATTACAAGGGATTTTCAGATCAATAGATATTTCAAGGTAGAAAATGCATATTTTCGTTGTCAGTTATAGAGTCACTATATATGCATCCTCATTTGCCATGTCTCTTCATAGCACACAGATACTGGTGAGGAGGTATTGCGGATGTGTGTGGCAGTGAAAAAGAAACTACAGCTTTACTTCTGGAAAGACAGGGAATTTCATGAATTGCAGGTATAGTCCATTGGTGCCTTGTTTTATGGGTTGGGTAGAAACTGCTGCCAAAGTTGGCCTATAGCTTGAGAGACTTTCTGTGGATTCTAATGAAGTTTAGCATCCCCAGCTTGTAGTTCCTCTCAACCCAATACTCTAGTATGAAGAACCTGAAAGCTTATCCATGCCCACTTGTGATACAATTCTATAGCGTTTCTGCAGATTGGTTTATTTCAGAATGTGTTTTCTTTCACCTTTTTTCAACTGGATAAGATGCGCTTTGTCCTGTTCCTGGGTGACTTCTATTTTTATTAAGAGTAGTTTCCTGGCCTTGTGCTTAGAGAATTGTGCTAAGATGAGGGTGAGGGTTATTTTACAGAAATGAAGCATACTAACAGAAAGGTCATGGTTTTGTTTGTTTTTGAACTTTTACTCTCTCTCTTCAGGGGGACTTCAGTGTACCAGATGTGCCCAAGTCCATGGCATGGTGTGAAAATTCTATCTGTGTGGGTTTCAAGAGAGACTACTATCTGATAAGGGTAAAAATCTTATGATTTTACAAATGTCATCAGTGTGTCTTGGGAAAGATGATTATGAGTTTACCTTGGAAAGATGATTGCATGCTTCTGAACTATAGGTCAGAAGACCACCTTAAGTTGGGCTTTTGGGTTTGTGTTTGTTTCTCTATTTGTTTGTTGTTTATACTCAGCATTCTCCACAAATAAGATGTTTGTGTAGGTTAGATCAAGCAGAGTTGACTCTTAGTTCTCTACATAATGATTATCCACAGCATGTATCTAATTATTAGGACAGAGAGTTAGAGCTGCTTGGGTAGGTCCAACAGCATTATCATGGACTGCTATCCTAAGGCTTCAGTGCTCAAGAATTATATGTCAGTTTTAGTGTTAACTAAAGTATTTTTGAGACTTTGGTCTCCTGCCCCCTTAAATTTCTTAGTATATTTGTTTTCAGGTTTTTGTTGTTGTTTATTTCTAAAGCTACATGTGTGTATTATAGAAAATAAGAAAACAGAGATAAGGGAATAAAGTAAATGCAAATCATTCAGAATCCTCCTGGCTATTCAGAAATAATTCATGGAGGTAAGAGGTATAGCTCAGCATAGAGCACTTGCCTGGAATGCACAACGCTCTGGATTCAATCCCTAGTATTGCACAAAGAAAAGAAAGAATCACTGTTAACCATTTGGTGTGTGGGTTTCTGCCTTGTTTACAAAAATATCATGTTTTACACATTGTTTCAATCTGCTTTTTCTCTTAAGTAGTAAATAAATACAACATTGCTTTTTTTTTTCTTCTAATATATATACTCTAGAAAAGATTGATATACCATTCCTATCATAAAGCAATCTAAATTCCTTAGCTTTACACAACTTTAATAATCCTTGGCAATTCTAGGAGGCTTTCTCCCTACTTCCCACTGTGTATCTTTTTGATATATTTGTTCTGTATGTTTATTTTTGGAATATTTTGATTTTACCAGCATTGGGTTTGCAAACTCCTGAAGGAATCACTGTTGTGCAGCTGACTAAGTAACAACTGAGCATATAGGTACTGAGAGAAGTCTACAAGGAGTGGAGGACTAAGCCAAAAGTGGGATTAGGGATCTCAATCCTCTGAATTCTGTGGATTCTTCCATCACCTCCACTATGGTAGGCAAATTTTCTACCACTGAGCTAGACCCTGTCTCCTTTACCTTCTTGGGGATAGTTTTCTTCTTACATTTTTTATTACATATGTATTTTTCATTGGCATATTATCATTATTATATATAGTAGTGGAATTCATTTTTAAGTACTTGTACATGCACACAACATAACAATATAATTTGGGCAATTTTGTTCCCAAGAAATGAAGTTTTCTTTCTTTTTTTGGTGGTACATGGAATTCAATCCAGGGCCATTCCACCACTGAGCTACATCCTCAGCCTGGTTTTCTTTCTTTCTTTCTTTTTTTATTTTTTGGTAATTTTTTTAGTTGTGGATGGACACAATCAGTCAATCTCAATCTCTCTCTCTCTCTTTCTCTCTCCTCTCTCCTCTCCTCTCCTCTCCTCTCCGCTCCTCTCCTCTCCTCTCCTCCCCTCCCCTCCCCTCCCCCCCCCCCCCCCCCCCCCCTCTCTCTCTCTCTCTCTCTCTCTCTCTCTCTCTCTCTCTCTCTCTCTCCCCCCCCCCTCTTTCTCTCTCACTTGACCCAGTGCCTCACATGTACAAGCAAGATTTCTACCACTGAGCTAAAGCCCCGTTCCTATCCCAAACCCCTTTATATTTTTTATTTTGAGATAGGATCTTATCAAGTTGCCCTAGTCTTCAACTTGCGATCCTTCTGTCTCATCCTCTTGATTGGGATTATGGGCATGTGCCACTGCAATTGGCAGGGATACAGTTTGCTGAAGGTAGGAAATCTTGCTTTGGACCCCAAGCTATTTAGAAGTTATTTATTTATTGACATACAACAAACTTCATTCCTTTTGTTATGCAATTGTGGTTTTTGAAAAATGCCCAGAGTTATGTAACTAATGTCATAGTCAAAATTCAGAGCAATTCTGGCCCTTGCTTCTCCTCTCTCGGCAAGGCCTGGGGGATCAGAGCAAGAAATGGGGACCATGTTCTACTCAAGCTGACGACTCTCAACTACCACAGTCTTTCTAGCTTCAACTGTAAAGATGAAACAGAATTTAGAAATCTTATTGTTTGTCTTGAAGACCAGAAAATCAGAAGTACAAGATTGAAGACAGGTAATTTAAGAAACATCCACAGCAGTGACTGGCCCAAGTTCTTTGAAAAGTATCTCAGAGATGTTAACTGTCCTTTCAAGATTCAGGATGGACAAGAAGCAGTTGACTGGCTTCTTGGCTTAGCTGTTAGACTTGAGTATGGAGATAACGCTGAAAAATACAAAGACTTGGTACCTGATAATGCAAAAAATACTGACAGTGCAACTAAAAATGCAGAGCCCTTGATCAGTTTAGATGTAAATAATCCTAACTATAAAGCTGGTGTGATGGCTTTGGCTCACCTTCTTCAGATTTGGCCCATGGTGATTACTTGGTAATGTTTAAGGCAATTCACATTTTGGTTCAAGAGTGCTAAAACAAATTTAAAAACAGAGGGCTTGCCTGTTGCTTTAGACAAACATATTCTTGGCTTTGACACAGGAGATGCAGTTTTTAATGAAGCTGCCCATATTCTGCAATTGCTGCATATAGAAGAACTCAGAGAACTACAGACAAAAATTAATGAAACCATAGTAGCTGTTCAGATAATTCAGCTATTTGAATTATTGCTGATCCAAAGACAGACCACCGACCAGGGAAACTTGGAAGATGAATACTTCAAGATTTTAGCTTCTTATCTACTTAGTACAATTGGGAACCAGTATGCTTCTGGCATGTGTTTGGAAATCAAATGTCATATTTTCAAGGGATCCTCCCAGAAAATTGACTATGTTCTAGAGATTTTCCACCATTGCTTTTTTCCTTAATAAAGTTTGGGAAAGTGAAGGGGAAAAAAAATTCAGAGCAGTTTTATCACCCTAAAAATTCCCTCAAAGTGCCCCTTTGAAATTAGCCCCTCACCTAACTCCCAAATCTCTGGTAACCACAGATCAGTTGTCTCTTTAACATTTATCTTTTTCAGAATTTTATGTAGTACAGTCATACAATAGGTAGCCTTTTGAATCTGGCTTCTTTCACTGAACATAATGTATTTGAAATGGATACATTTATGTTGTTTGTGACCATGGTTTATTTTTTTCATAACTGAGTAACGTTCTCTGGTGTAGATGTATTATGGTTTATCCATTCAACAGTTGAAGGATAGTTATTCTCAGTTTTTAGCAAATATGAATAAAACTGCTATAAATATATGCATTCAGATTTTGCATAAACATAACTTTTCATTTCCCTTGGGCAAATGTCTTGGAATGGGGTTGATGGGTCATATGGTAAGTTTATATTTAACTTGTAAGAAACTGGCAAACAAAATGACTGTAGCATTTTGATTCCCACCAGCAGTATGTGAGAGCTGCAGTGGCTCTGCAACTTGGAGCACCTGACATCTTTAGTTACTTTCTGTATATTAAAGAACTGGTTTTATACTGTGATAAAAGTTGTTATAAGGAACACTATGATACTTAATGTCAAACAAGGAATATCATGGGCTTTTCTTTTCAGGCTTTTTTCATGCCTCTGGCTAGGGAATCTTGATTGATTCACTTTGTCTTTTTCTAGGTGGATGGAAAAGGGTCCATCAAAGAACTCTTTCCAACAGGAAAACAGCTGGAGCCCTTAGTCGCACCTCTGGCAGATGGAAAAGTGGCTGTGGGTCAGGATGATCTTACTGTGGTCCTCAATGAGGAGGGAATCTGCACACAGAAATGTGCCCTGAATTGGACAGACATACCTGTGGCCATGGGTGAGACCAGCAATAGCTATTGTTTGCCATTTGTGCTGGTGTTGCATGTCATTCCTGTAGCATGGAGTCCCACTCATACATAGCTTTAGTAGACTGCTTCACATTCCACTCAGTTCCCTTCTCTTAAGTAGACAGTGTTTTTAGAGTCCTTAAAAATGTGATAACCTAGTTTTTATAAGAAGCTGAGTTTTGCTCCTCAGTGGGAGGAAATGTAAACAGAAATGTACATTTTAGAAAGAGATTGTCTACTGCTAGTTTTACTTCTTGGTTTATTTTCTTCCACCTTCTTAATGTTTTTGTACATGCGTCTTCTTCCTAATAGACTACATTTGGAAGTTTGTGGAAATTCCTTATTTATTACTTTAATATGTATAACTTCATATGAAGAACTTTTGATGGTTGCCATTATTTTTGTAGGTTAGAGGCACAGATTGCATTTAGGTGTCAGCTTCTGTCCTACATATTAGATGTTTCTGTTGCTATGTCTGCCTCAAGTTCCCAATTCTCTGCAGTAGCATTGCTTGGAAGCATGATGCCACTTTTGCAATAATTTCTTTGTGGTTAGAAGCATGAACATTTTTATATAGTCACTACTGTGGAGTGGGGCACAGACATGCTTTCTGTCTCTAAGGACTATAGCTCGAGAGACAAGCACTACATCTTGGATAAAGACAAAAAAACAAGTCACCACTTAAGGTGTTAATTGAAGTGCATTAAAATCCAGCAGTTCGCAGAGAGGGAAATTCATTGTTTAGTCCGGAAGACATTTCACTGTATAGGTAAGTTTGGACCAGACCAGTTAGGGAGTTTGGGATCTTGCTAAGAAAAATTTCCTTTCATTCTAGGCAGAAAGAGTAATGTGGAAATACAAAGACATGCTGATATGTGGGAGGTCATTACAGATACTGACCTAGCTGAAATAGGTGATCCGAATTATGTAGGAATAAAATAGGCCAGTTGTTCCAGGTCAATGAAAAAATCTAAGAGGCCAGCAGAATCCTCAGTGGTAGAATGTCTTAATAAAAGCATCACGTTCTGGTGGTATTTAGAGGAAGGTAAATAAAAAGGAAGGGAAATCAAAGGACAGTGTTTTAAAAGACCCAAGATTATGTATGTTGATAAGTTTGGGAGTCCTAAGAGCTTCATAGGCTGCTTCCTGATGTTCTAAAGAACCTTATTTTCCTTTTTGGAGAGGAAAAAAAGTGGCAGTTGAGCTCAAGATACACATAATTTGTTTGAAGGGTATTTCTGATTCCCTGGCGTGATAGTTCCTGTTTTAAAACCCTTGCTTGTTCCCAGTACCTTCCATGGTGCTTCTCAAAAACATTTCTGTGCCTTAACCTACTGAGCCACATTTTGAGGCACTTCCTCTGTGAAGCCTTCTTTGGACCAAAGATAGGATTAGTCACTCTTTCCAGCCTTCCACAACCCTCTGAGATATTGCTGTCATGGTACCGTATCACTCAGAATACAGTGAGTGATCTATGTCCTTTGCTCATATAGGAGCTCTATAAGGTCTGGGCTTATGTCTTGATCCTCTTTAAATCCTTACTATGTAGTACAGTGCCTGAAACATCAGATCCTTTTAGAAAATACTTATTGAATAAATAAGTCATTATCTTTATCAGCCATCTGTTCATTGTATGTCTGCTATATGCTAGCCACCCTGACAAGTTTTAAAGTCATAATGAGATCCAGAAAGTCTCTATTATCAAAGAGTTGGGGAGACTGAATGAATAAGATGATAAGCAAATGAGTTTCTATTACAGATTACCTTTTTTAAAAAAAATAAAATTAAATTAAACCTTATACAAATGGGCCAGATTTTGAAAGGAGAAAGAAATTTTTACATATTTATACTGTTAGCACTAAAGAAAATTGTACTAACTTTTCAAAATGAGGCCAGCATAAAAAGAAAAAAAATTCAATACAAAACAACATACTTTTGATTTTATTATTATTTTTGATAAAATGAAAAATATTAGAACTGCCTGGCATGGTGGCACATGCTTTTGATCCCAGCAACTTGAGAGGCTAACTAGGAGATTACAAAATTAAGGCCAGCCTCAGCAACTTAGCAAGGCCCTTAGCAACTTAGTGAGACCCTGTTTCAAAATAAAAAAATAAAAAGCGCTGTAGATGTAACTCAGTGATAAAAGCACCTCTAGATTCAATCCCAAGACCCCCCCACCCCACAAAATCAGCATAATAATTGCAATAGCATTCAAACTGCGGTAAATTTGACTTGAAACTTCAAGTTATTTATTTTTTAGTTGCCTTCTAATCATGAGATCTTATGATAGTGTTCAGAGTGTAAATTCAAATATAATAGAAAAAGTTTTTTTTATCAGAAAATGGCTAATTAAGAACATAAATTCATCTGGGTGGGGTGGCACACACCTGTAATCCCAGAAGCTATGGAGGCTTAGGCAGGAGGATTGTGGGTTCAAAGCAGCAACAATGAGGCGCTAAGCAACTCAGTGAGACCCCGTCTCTAAATACAGTACAAAATAGGTCTGGGGATGTGGCTTAGTGGTCAAGTGCCCATGAGCTCAATCCCTAGTACTTCCCCTAAAAAAGAGAATATAAATTCATAGCAAGTTAACCATACCAAGAAACTATTCTTAGGAATATATTCTTTGAGGTTAAATTTCTGTGTAATTATGCCAAATAGTGGTTTGCTTTTTTACTAACTCTTTTGTTACATTTAAAAATTTTTTATTTTTAAGCATGGCAAAAAACACAACAGCAGTTTCCAACATGTGAGTGTTAAGAGGGGACAAGCCACGCAAGGTGGCACACACCTATAATCCCAGAGACTTTGGAGGCTGAGAGAGGAGTATTTGAAGTTTGAGGCCAGCTTTAGCAATTTAATGAGTTTCTCAGCAACTTAATGAGACCCTGTCTCAAAAAAATAAAAAGAACTGGTGGTAAAACATGCCTGGTTTTTTTGGAGGGGGGGCGGGGGGAGTCTGGAGGTGGTGGGAGGGTGTTGGCTGCACTGGGGATTGAAACCCCAGCCTCACACATGCTAAATAAGAGTTCTACCACTGATTTACACCCTCAGTCCCTATTGCGATTATATTTAATGTAGTATCCAAGTAACAAATTTATTTCATAGTTCATTATAAACTAAAGCAGATTTTTATTCAGTCTTATTCAGAATTTTTGTATTTTTTTTCCTTTTTTTTCTTTAAATTTTTTTCTTTATTCTTTTTTTTTAATTTGTTGTTCAAAACGTTACAAAGCTCATGACATATCATCTTTCATACTTTTGACTCAAGTGGGTTATGAACTCCCATTTTTACCCCAAATACAAATTGCAGAATCACATCGGTTACACATTCACATTTTTCCGTAATGGCATGTTAGTGACTGTTGTATTCTGCTACCTTTCCTATCCCCTACTATCCCCCCTCCCCTCCCCTCCCATCTTCCCTCTCTACCTCATCTGCTGTTGTTCAGTTCTCTCCCTTGTTTCCCCCCCTCTTTCCCCTTACAACCTCTTATATGTAATTTTGTGTAACATTGAGGGTCTTCTACCATTTCCATATGCTTTCCCTTCTCTCTCCCTTTCTCTCCCCTCACTCGTCTCTGTTTAATGTTAATCTTTTCCTCATGCTTTTCCTCCCTGTTCTGTTCTTAGATGCTCTCTTTATATCAAGGAAGACATTTGGCATTTGTTTTTTAGGGATTGGCTAGCTTCGCTTAGCATAATCTGCTCTAATGCCATCTATTTCCCTGCAAATTCCATGATTTTGTCATTTTTTAGTGCTGCGTAATACTCCGTTGTGTATAAATGCCACATTTTTTTTATCCATTCATCTATTGAAGGGCATCTAGGTTGGTTCCACAGTCTTGCTATTGTGAAATGTGCTGCTATGATCATTGATGTGGCAGTATCCCTATAGTACGCTCTTTTAAGATCCTCAGGGAATAG